AACGTAACCACAGATTCAAATCATATTTAGTTTACACCTTTTAAACACCTGTGGTGCCCCTTGTCGTAATTCGCCTAATTTTATGGTATGAACAAATTACGTTTCTATAACACAAAGGGCAATATTATTATCGAGATATTTCATAACTCTGTACGTCTCACGATATCGGAGGTACATTGTTACAAAACAATAATATTTCTAAATGTTTTCTACATAATAATATCTGTTGCAATCTGTAATAATGTGCTTAATGCACTGGCCACTATGAAACACTTTGACATTTTATTATTCCTGTGCCCATCGAATCAAACAAACATTGTTCGTGACTTACAGACTTGTCGACAAGTTATAAGTATTAATGGTATTCGGTAAATGATTCAGGTCGATAAAAGGAGGAATACCACTCTTTTCGGGCAACAATAATAATAATTTAATACGTGCGAAAAATAAATGTTAACACTATAGAGTTGCTTCAGTCACGCCAGTTGTGGTCAGTAACGTCACACCAGTGAACGCAAAATACATAATAATAAATAATAATAATAATTGTTTGACTCCACTTGCATTTTATTGTTCTTTTCCATGGCCAATATTATATTTATTACTATTGTAAGTCGTCTGAGGAAAAACTAGTAGGTACATTTTCGATACTAAAACGTTTTATCGCACACTGCATTTATTTAACACGAAGTAATACGTAATTGTACGCATTGTTTATGTTTCCGAACGTTTCAGTCGTGTGGTACAAACATAATAATATTATTCAAATATAGTCTAATGACTAATGTAGACTGTAACATACTGCAGTAATCGACGTCGTTAAAGGAAGATGGTCTTTTACACACATTTTAGTACCTACTTGTAATTTGTTCACAAATTATAGGTACACTTCTAAATATTAGTTTTGGTAATCTGCGCTACAACATAAGACGAAACGAAATATTATGTAATCTGCGCCACATTTAAAATTTAAATTGATGGAATTTACCTAATAAGTAACATGGAATATTTTTAAGACAAACGATTGGACAATGGATATTAATATTTCTGATTTTTACATATTATCAACTGAAATATATCACTAATTTATACTAAAGTACGTATGTATACCTACACATAATTGCAATTAGCTTACATTTTTAAATGTATTTTATGTAAATTTTAATGATTTTCTTTATCTATTAAGATTATCTTGATTGACTAATAATTTAAAATACGTATCGTTATAAACAAATTTAAAAATTATTGTTAATTATTCTTAAAGCGGCGCTAATCACCAAAATGAATTTTGAGTTTTGGCACAAAAATTACATACGACCGTCATGACCTTGAGGCGAGTGCCTGGTGACGCAGCTGGCGGCTCGTCGATCGGTAGAGTCCCTTTAAGTCGGTAGCCGAAGGTTGGGAATTATGTCGTACCTATGGCAATATTACGATCGGTAATAAGGGTCGCGGGGACGAGTCCTGCAGGGTCGCAGTCGACCCATAACTGTGTTACCCCGTCGCTTCTTTGGGTTTAGTTTCGTACGGGCTGTCGTTTCGAGAAGGGGAAACTATATATATAACCGACTTTGAGTGGAATCTCTGCACAGTAAGCGGAAAAAGGTCACCGCGGCGGACCTACGGTGTGATTTCCGTACCGCTCGGGTCGGGCCCTCCTCTGCACCGTAAAAAGTGCACTTCATTTATGTCACCGACAGAAGTATGGTAAGCACGAAACCCGGGAATCCCGTGGCGCATTGCTGCGTGTTTTATTATTATGGCCGTGTAATTATATTAAAATGGTTTGTTCCAATACCTATTCTAGAAATGTAATCAATCGCCGTTCGAATACATTACTATATTAGTCGGTTGTTTTTTTTTAAATAATTAGACGATTGCGTCGTACGAAACGTTTTATCGCTAACGAATAATTCCACTAGCCGAAGTACATAAGAATATATTGTGTAAGAAATTAGAAGAAAGAAGTGTACAATGGACCGTAGTCGTACGGATAAAATGTATAGTCTGTTAAGATTTAGTTTGTGATAATGGTCTTTTTTCCGAAATCCTATTTATTTTTTTCTGTGGACGGTTATATTATGTCTGGCGGAGAGATAGTTCCGAAAGTCTGTAGAATCGTTTTTCGAATGCAGTATACGAATTATTGTCATTTTCACTATTATAATATTATCACAACTCAGATGTATAAGTTTAGCACACCCGTATCAATTAAGCCTACCCAACTGTATCGGATTTTTTTTTTCCAATTTTATTTTTCTATTTTATTATCGTAAACGCTTAAGATCAGTTACCTTTTGTCCGCCGATCAGTAGCACACACAATGTGGCACAGGGGTTTTTATCCATCAAAATGGGTGGTGGGTGGCTGGGTGACTGTTTAACTTACTGGTGGATTATTTCATATTGTGTGTTGAACTAATACCTATAAGTAATTATTGTATGTCCTATTAATGTAACACAATGTATGGGAAAATTTTCTTCCGTGTATTTATTGTGTGTATTGTTAATATCCCTTGCGGAAAATGAGTGTGTACTGACTGCTGATGAAATCATTTACACTTACTGTAGGTATACTGTTCAACTCTATTAGAGATCATTATAGTACCTATACATATTATATATCTACCTATTGCAATATTTATAAGTACCAATAATAATATTAATGTATTATAATATATGTTTTTCATCTTTTTTTGTCTTTTGCATTTTGTTTTTGCTTGTTTTGTTCTTTTTGATGTATATATAGTTGTAATTGTTGAACTATGATAATTTAAATATTGGAAGCTAATAACAAAAAAAAATAATAATATGCAGTTGTTAATAATGCGTCCCGATCTGATTATGTTGGACCTAATCATCGGCGCGTGGCATAAACGTTTAAAAAAATGCAATACAATACAATAATATTGCGACTGAAATCGAAATTCGAGTATGTCACTGCACGGCCCGAGAGTTTGGCAACGATGTGTAATAATATTTGCTATAATAATAATAATAATAGCAATAATACATTCAGTGCTTGAACAATGATAATAATATAATATGTGCAGTGTCTTTGGATCGTCGATATCGTCACTGTTGATTGCTACGACTACGTGATATTCGCACCCGACCGATCTCCCCGAGTCACGTCCGTTGTGCCATCCGTTGATGTTATTATATTTAATATTTTCTACTAACCGCAGAAAAACCAAAATATAAACTCGACTCGTATAATATTATATAGGTAATGTGTATATGGTCTAAAAATTGTATTCTTTATTGTATCATAATATATTATAATAATATTATACATATTATAACTATACAGTATATATTTTATTATATTAGCATGAATAAACATTAAAGACAATTTATATAATAATATTTTTTTAATTTGCCTACTTAACTATACAAATCACAGTCATCAAAATGAAAAAAAAAATAATAATAATAAAAATAAAATACAACTAATCCAATACATACGTGAAAACATTGTAAATAATAATAAGTTTCCGCTAATCATTATATAATAATATTTTTTCTTCAACAAAACTCTCATACAAAACAACACAATTCCCTAACAAATTTATCCAATTCTTCTATATTATATTATTATTGAAATTTATTATTACGTTCAACGTCGAAAAATATAGGATATTTAATTTTTTTTATTTAGCAAGCAATCTCCTTTACCCGCTGGAAGCCCAAGAGGAATATCCGATGGCGACCACACTCGCGTGCAGTGCCCACAATCCCGTTATCGGTGTCGCAGCGTCTTCTGCAATATATTATATTATGTTGCACACATCATAGGTGCATTCACACGATATCATATATATTACGTCTCACGGTAAAAAAAAGCGTAACACAAAAAAAAGTGTCTCTGATAATAATAATAATTTAAAAAATAAATAAATAAACAATATCATATATATATATAATAAAAAATATTATGTCGGCTCGTTCTTACATCATATATACGCTCTTCGAGGGTCGTTATTTTTTAATTTCCCTCTCCCACTCGCTCTTAATTTTCAATTTTTTTTTTATTGAAAATTCGATTCCATCTTGAAACGACGACGAAAAAATTACGACATTAATAAATAATGGCCTATATATAATATAATATTACCTATGTACTACACATAAGCTACTTTATATTAAAGTATTAATATTATTAAATAAAATTCTGGTCGTGTGTCGAAATATTATTTTAGACCTACGTACGACTTATAATGGCGTGAAAATCGTACCTTGGAGTCTGTCTTTTTTTGTGCGTTCCCTTGATCGACTAAAAAAAAAATCGTACAGCCACGAGTGAGAAAAGTAAAAACAAAAATGACAAATAAAAATGCGGAACTAGTGAAAATACAAAATTTTCCGTCAAATAAACGCGTGTAGAGCTTAACAATATAATATATTTATAGATTATTACGGATAAGTGTTCAAAACTAGACTAAACAAATATTTACAATGTTTTTTTTTTTTTTTTTTCGTAAGTATACATTATTTTAAAATATAAATAATTATAATGTATTATTATTGCTCGAGAACAACAAATAAACCGTTAAGAGACAAAGTTAAAAATTGGGTTATTATGTATTAGTATAATATAAGCCTAATGGTATATAATATATATATATAATATTATATTAACGATTGTTATTACAAATTATTGCGCTTGGTTTTCGACAACAACATATATAGGCTACAGAGAACATTTTACACATAAATAATATCATATGAATACAAATTTGATCAGTCTAAAGGACGTAAAAAAAAAAACAAATATATAATGACGACAAATTAAAAAAATAGTCTCATTTTGGAAAAAAGAAAAGTTTAAAATAATTAAACGATTAATTGTGTCCAGAAGTGTTATAAATTGTACATATACATATAATTTTTTCGAAAAGGTACCCTAAAGAAAAGCCGAGTAAATCCAAGAACAAAGTTTCTTTTAACAACAATATAATAATAACTTAACGCGACGAAAACAAAAAATAAAAAGTACGTTTAAAAATATATCCTCGTCTGCAGCTGTTGCAACGCGGGGATGACCATCAAGCACACCGTTATCAATAGGGGTGCGTGCAGTCGTGTAGATGGTGCGGCGCCCGAAGGTTCGTTGGAGTTTATCACCACGTCCGGTCCCGATTTCGGTCCCGATTTATCAGTCGGTTTGACTGAAAAAAAAAGAAAAATTAAAGATTAAAACATCGAATTAAATAAATACATTGAGTCACGATGCACCTAAACATAATGATGTATTATTACTATTGTAACGTACCTACGTGTGCATTTCCGTTTAAATATTTTACTATAGGTATATCGCTGGCGATTACATAATAATAATTGGCATGCACATCGTGCGCGATAATCTTTATTATTTAGTTATTTGTTTAATAATACAATTTCATATACATATTATGATCGCACTGAGCCGAGTGAGCCCCACTGAGAGAACTCGTGTGGAAGCCCAAGTGTTCCAAATTACATTGTATAATACAATACCTATCTATTAAATTATATTTGAGAAGTACATGATTAAATATTAGAATTATTTTACATTGTAAAAATAGAATTTTAGATTTATAGAGATAATAAAAAAAAAATGAATATTAATAAATATGGTTCATGAGTAGATGGTTACAAACACTTAGGTACAATAAGCTTGATTTTCGATTACTATAATGTTAATTCTTCGGGAGATTATAATTGGCATTGCAAAATTTGTTTTTTTGAATTAATTAATTAGAAGATTTATTATACGAGATGGTATTTCATTACATAGTTTGGTGCTGGTTATTTCAAAATGTCTACTATAGATTTAGTTATTTGTTTTTCAACAATAACAACTGTGATAAACATATTTATGTTCATGCGTTTAATATTGTGAAGAAAACAATACTTACATTGTGAATCGTCGGCGTTAGGCAACTGAGTGGTGATCGGGTTCTCGCCGGAACCGTCGCCCGATGAGTAGTCTGCGTTATCGTCATCATCGTCCCAACTGCCCCTGGCGGCGCCACTGCCTTCGCCGGACCCTTCGGCCTCGTCGGCCATGAACGAGTCAGATTGTGGACTCGAACTCAATTGGTTCAACACCGTCTGGAAATCGGTAAGTAAAAGATTACAAATATCGTTCGGCAATGTTTGAATTTAGAGGAGACGGAGTACACCCCTCATAATTATGTGCTATAATCAATAAGACATTTAGACATTCAGGTACACACATTTTTTTACACTTTTGCCATACCCCTTTTAATTTTTTTCCCATATCAAGCGATGTCGTTCGGTCACATCTAATGGTGCTATATATTATATTATACTCTGCCCAGCAAGTGAACACTCCGTGGGCCAACGAAAATTGGTTCTTCAGCTCTGCATCCCTACGTGACACCTGTAATAGTGAAAACGGTCTCGGCGGAAAGGTGTCGAGTGAGGATGCGCAGAATTGGCGTGTTCTCCCTTTGGACAGAGTATATAGTAGCTGGTATTTACGAGGAGATGGGTCGATAGAGAGAGGTGGGGATTTACTTTCCCTCACACTCGACTATGATAATATTGTTGTATTGAAAAATATCATGAAAATAATAATAGAATATAAAACGTTTATATCTATTAATTACTGTACAACATTTTCCAAGTCCCATCACATCGCTGTTACGACGGTCAGATGTCAGTTTTGACTGTTATTCATTTCAAACGGTTAACTCATATAATAATACGCATCGTAACATATTATGATATAATATCCAAATGCTATTAATTAATTTAAATGCGTTATTAGCACATTATAAGAAATGCACTAGATATATAGGAATAACTAAACCGTAAAAAATCAATAATTTTTTGAGTATGTTTTTTTTTACCTTCCTGTTGGATATGTTTTGATTTATAGAACCGAATCAGAGTTAAAACAAACAATTAACTGTTTGTCTGCGTTCCGAGCCCATGTATATCACTCGTCATTAATTTCGGGCAAGTCAGTCGATTCAATATATTATTATATTGTACCTATATTATGTATTATTAGTATTATTATTATAGGTATATATGCGTGTTATCCCGCAACACACTTCCTATACAACATCAGCAAATACTCTGTCCATAAATCACGTTTATTGCTCGGTTAACGATTTTAAATGATCTCTCGTCCAACTAATACATATAATAATAATATTAATAGTATATAATATTTCCTCCTACCCCTCTCCGTATATAATTTATCGGATCGTCCAAAGAATAGTGCTCGACCGCACTGCATCTCCTCTACATTACTAAATAATATAATATTCTGTACACCAAAGTGATAATATCGTGCAACTCACTTGTCTGATGTGCCTGAGCTTGTCGATGACTTCCGCCACTTTGTTGTCTTGGGAGTTGATGGAAGCCGTCCAATCGAATTCCGGGTTGTACATTTGCGCGCTCAACAACGGTCCGACGACGTTGTCCGTATACCTGTGCAACATGAAAAATATAACACCGTTATGAATTATATATATATAACATAATATATTATTGCGTACGGCGATGATAACAATTATTTTTATAAATAAATAATAAATCAATAGATCCATAACAAGCCCTCAGAGACACGAAGATCGGGTGCGTCCATGTAACCGAATTCGGAAATATAATTATTATTAACAATTGCCTCACACGCGTCTAGTCTCGTTTGGGCATACAATGCTATAATATTATTATTTCGTAATATAATCGTATGATATACTGCAGTGGACAATTTAAACATCCCACCCGAATGTTGTTGTCTCCGCATTCAAGTTTAACTTCGTTTAGCCTTGTTAGTTTTAATATTAGTATGTGTTTACCTATATTTTAACTTTAAGGAACATAAAAAAAAGTTTAACGATTTATTGAAAGCGATTTTTCGATATATTAATTTTAAGTGAGTAGCATTTTTAATTTGTAGCATTTTACACACTCTTAAAATTTGTTTCGAAATTAAAATATCGAAAAAAGTGACTAACAAACCACAGAAAATGATGTTTTCTTTCAATTTAATAATTAGTAAATTCATTCTATTATTAAAACTAACGAAACTAATGTTCTGTAAACTTACTACAAGTTCACAGAAAACTAAGCAACGTTTTGGATTTTCCTGAAATATTCAGGAGGGCTGCAGCGCCCTTAGTTCCTCCTCTGACTACGCTACTGTTGTAAATATACTTACTCTCCCACAGATCGGCCGTTCCAGCAGTCTGTCGTCGTGTAGTTTGTGCACATGGACCGTGCCATATCTGAGAACAGTCCCCGTACCCTGACCGCGGTTTCCGGGTCAGAAAACTTGGTCAACTTGGAAGTGAGCAGTGCGGTGCTAAGGTCCTCTTCTTCGACGTTCCACACTTCCTGGCTCTCTGGCGTCTTGGCCGCGCCTGACGATGAAGCTGTGGCCGGGGCATGAGTGTTCCACCTCGCGGGACCGCAAAAGTATTTCACCTACGACACCGAATCAAAAATCAAACATCAATTAATGTTAAGCGACAGTGTGTACATATAACTAATATAATTGTTTTTCATCGGATCTCCCAACTCGTGGGCCATTGAACATATTGTATAGGTATCTTTTAAAGAATAATATAATATTTTACGATGAGAGAGTTAACTATCGTAAAACAAAATTCGTTTAACATTTCAGAAATAATAATTAAATTTACATCAATGATGATGCCCCGCCAAAACATTTAATTTTTAAAATAAAATACAAAACATGCATTTTATTTATGTGGGGTCCATAGTTGTTGATTGTTTTGTTTCTATACGACTTCATTTCATTATCATTACATAATACATACATTAATAAAAGTCTATTGAAATACGAAACGATAGTTTTTTTAACATTACTTATAAACAAACCAGAATAATATATGCGAGTAAACAAAAAAAAAAACTAAAAAAAGTGTACGATATAAACGTGTGAATAAAATATGGTGAGCAGACGGTCAGTAAAAATATTCAACAAAAATTGTAAACGCTTTTAAATAGGTATCAACTATTACAATGGTTTAGTTAAAAAAAATATTTATAATATATTAAATGAAGATCAATTTTTGTATGAAAGGAGTAAAAAACAGAAAACTGACTAATTTTGATTTGTATACCCACCACGAAAAGTTCACGCTAATATATATTTTACTCATCTACTTAAATAATATTATAATAAAATTGAGACAAACACCATTTAAAAGCCATAGTACACGTTTAATATCCAACCGTATTATCAGGCTCAATCAGGGAAGTGTATGGAGGGGCAAAGCACTCGTGCTGCATATTTCAAAGGTCCTTAAAAAATGCCTTGTCAAATTCTCTAATAATGTTGCACATATTATCAATATGTGCACCAATGTAATGTATAATATTACTACCTAGTGATAAAATTTAAATATTCAAGTGACTTAAAGCACGCCTTTTCAAAAAACACGTCTACCCCAAATGCTCCTGAAACAAAATCGTGTGGTAAAAATGTTATATTGATTGCATGCATGACGAAATCAGTTGGAGTTCTTCGTATACAATAGGCACCTAACGCGATATTAAATTGGTTTGTTTAATAATACGATATACGTATATAACAATATATATATTATATTATACTCTCTCGATCGGCATCCGATATACGTTTCGATTAGATTGTTATTAAAATAATATAAACATAAAGTCTCGACGATGATTATACCGGAATCTCGGGTTTCATAATACATGTGCACAGTGCACATATATAGTTGCCATGGTCGGAGGAAGAGAGAGAGAGACAGACAGACAGAGAGAAACAGATAGACGCTGAGAGAGACAGAGTGCCCGAGGCAAAGTTTTGGACACACCGCGAGAACTTTTTGTTTTAAACATATATACTTCTAGGTATGTATATACCTATTGTTTAGTCATCGCGTGTACACACAAACACTCACACGCGGTCGCGGTTACTCCATACACACATATATAAATATATATATATATATATATATTATTATACTTTTCGGCCGGGCCGGTATAACAATGCGAGCGCGATCGGAGCATGCACAATTGAATTGTGTGTTCCTACATGACGATTATTGGGCTCGCGGCGTTAAAGATATACGTGATGTATTATGTGTGTATACAGGGTGATTCACCTGCGAGCATGTTCACCCCCAGTCTTTTCCTTTGTTAATTAATTTATTAAAGTCCTGATTTTTAAAGTAGGTACCTATGTGTTAGTAGGGGAATGTGGGGCAAAGTGGACACACCTTTACGTTTAATTATAACCGTATAATTATATATTATATCATTGTGTGAGTTTGTAACTTAAATAGTCGATATTATTGCCAATACACTTAACTTCATATAGTTTTATTCGCCATAATTTAGTTTTTTAACTACATGACAATTTATATCTATACAAATTTAGATAAGTAACAACGGCCATGGATATTAAAAATTGTATGGTATTTATTTATTTTATAATTAATTAAATATGCAAAAAAAACAAAACATTAGCTCTAACGACATTAACGTTAACATCAGTATAAATATTGATAAGTCATAATCAATTAAGAACTTTACAAGTTACAATTTTAATCATTATAATACATTTTAATAAATAATCAGCCAGTATCTCAAATTTGACTAGACAAGATTAAAGTGAAATAAAAATAAATAAATAAATAATATAACAATACTGCTTCAGTCTTAAAATTAAAGAAAGTTAAATCAATTTGAGAAGGTTCATTTAAAACTTAATCTTTCCCACATGGCACATATCTTCAGTCGGTTTTGGTAAAATAATGCAAATGTTTTCACTTTTAACTCTAAAGATATTTTCTTCAGTTGGTCAAATAAATAATAAAGTTTTAGGTTAAAACAATTTATACTTATATTTGCTCATGAATATGACGTTATATGCTGAATTAAAAAAAACACCAACATATAGTTAATAGGATCAAATGTCCGAGTACATCGATTTTGTAAGCCATTTAAGATCTTACTGGAATATAATAATATCCTGTTGTGATAGAAACTCCTTTTTTCGAATGAGAAACGACCTTTTTCCCTGTAAATTGGTAATCAGAAGACATTTGGAAAATGTCGAGGAAAAAGAATTATTTAAAAATGAAATCGGGATGATGATAAAATCATAACTATATTTATTATTATTATTATTTATTATTTTCCAGTCTGTATATTAAAAGTTAATTTTGATTTTCGAGAAAAAAAAATAATGAATTGAATTGAAGTCATTTTTTCTCATGATTTCCATGAGGATATTAAAAAATCATATTTCGTTTGCCAGACATCGTATAAGAACAACCCCCAAAAATACGCCACTGGCACTGCGGTGCAGCGTGTTGAATATTGTAATTTACATTATACTAATTGTGCAATATGATAATAATAAAATATTATTATTGTTTTTGTAGTTCGGTCGGTTACAGTCGTGAGAGTAATGCGCACTGCAGCGATGTTTTTAGTTTGGCTTATTAATAATTATACACGAAAACGACGACATATTTAAACAATATTGTTTTAACACAAAGGGCGGGGCGGCTTTTCCCGTTTTTCCGGACGGCCGTGTGGGAAAACACCACGGCGGCGCTTTCTGTACTCAGTTTACCGTACTTTTGCATTATTCATCGACTTGCGTTGTCCTGTAAGTAGTATGTTAGTATAATATCGTACTCGAGTATATATTATATTGACACGGACGCGGCGATAAAACAATATTTATCCGCATAACGTCATCCATTGCTATTATATCTGTATTTCTCTCGCTCTCTTATCCATATCTCTAATTTAGGTACGATATTCTAATATTAAATTTCCCGCAATTAAAATTGTATTCCGTTCGTTCACACATTTTTGGCGTATTTGTGCCGCGTACGATGCGGAAACGACGACATACTAATGATATATAATATTATGTATATATAGGTACAATAATGGCACAATCGCGGTTGTCGTGCGCTGTTATAATATTATTATTATCATAGTTCCCGTCGCGAAATTCTTTCGTTGTACAAACATACACCCACACAGTCGTAATGTACATCTTATACATATTATAATAATACGCGATTGTTCTCTTCCCGTCGGTCGTCTTTGCGATGCGATTCTCCGTGACCACCCGACCGGAACCGCACTGCATCCGCCGCCGTTTCTCGGAAACGTTTTCTCGTCAAACCCATCACATTTTTGACCCGCTAGAGCGCAGGAACTATAACCGCACCAGTGGCAGAACATTTTCTTTTGGGCGAGGCCCAGAAACTGTTTATACCTACCACCATCGCAAACTTATATAAGTTCTCTTTTATAATAGCGTTTTGACGGAAGTTGGGGTGATTTTCAGTCACTATCGAAAAACGTATAGACATTTTTATAGCTTTTTCAATACGGTTATCGGTAGCATATATATGTATATGGTGTTAGTTGAGACTATTCGTTGTTCGGTCAAATCGTTGTCGTCGCATGCATTGTACGAACTACGAATATTGCATAACATTTTGTATCGTAGATACATATTATAATATTATATTCATCGATTGTCAGAATGATAATTTGTTCAATAGTATGAGTGTATGACATTATCTAACTATTATTATTATATTTTTTTTTTGATAACAGAAAGTTATTATTTAGTTTACCTCCCCTCACTTTTCCTACAACCCGTTATAACCTTCGTCACCGGTCGGTAAATAATAATATAATAGGTTGTGATTAGGTTTTTTAACAAGCGTCACGAGCAAAATGAAACGGCGTCGAAATTGTTTTATTTACGCGTACGTGACTGCTGCAGCAGTATACACACACACACACACACACAGACACAGACACAGACACAGACACAGACACACAGACACACACACACACACAGACACACAGACACACACACACACACACACACACACACACACACACCACACACACACACACACACACACACACACACACACACACACACACACACACACACACACTACCTGTAATACCAACGACTACCCCGGTCGAGGCGATAAATCTAAGAATTTATCGCCGCGCGTCGGCCGCAAAATCATTTCGGTCGTTGTTGTTGTACACGCAGGGGCAGCGATAAATGCGCGCGACGAGTGCACGCCACGGACACGGCCAGTTGCAGTCGCACGTTTTCTCGGATTGTGTTTGGAGCTCAACGGTTGTGCTGTTTCGAGTGCATACATTATTATTTATTAGTAATACATTTAAAACACAGTAAAAAAAAAATAGTAAAAAATGAAACGATTAAATGTTTCGGCAAACAGAATAATAATAATATAATATACTCCCGGTAGTAGGTTAGTAGGTACGTTCACTGTTCGACTGTAAATATATATTTTATTATTTTTATATAGTTGTGGCGAAAATAGTATAATATTATATAATTCGCAGTGTCATAAGTCATAACTTAACGAGTCCTTAGGCCCGAAATGTTCAAATTGAGCTCGATTCGA